TCCGATACGTTCGAATAGGCATAGATATTGAGTCCAACTACAAACAGGAAATTCTTATTCATAGTTATAATCTTGCCAAACGATTGGTCTTTTTCTTCGGATCCCAAAACTTGGTGCAACTTCCACCTATTAGAATCATTTCTAAAAATAGCAACAACGCCGTAGCCCTCTACTGGATGCTTACCGCTGACCGCGATCATTTCAGCGCCATCGTACGCAAACCCTTCTCCGACGCTTTCCGAAGAAGACCACCGGTCATCGTTCGTACAGTGTTCGACGGCTTCCGTACTCGTGTGATTACAACTGGTAATGGCCAAAATCTGTGTGGTTTGGGCCAGATTTTCTGCATCTATTTTATATAACAGGAATTTTCCGTCACCCGATACCAAAACGGTATCATTCATTCCTTTAACCTTAACAAAACTGTTATTCATCGTCGAATTAAAAGTAACTAATGTTATAGGCGTGTTTTTGTACGACCTTGTCGAAAATACGTATGCAGAATCCTGAGATGAAGCGACTATCAAGTCATTTTTTAAAACACTTACAGACACACCGAATACATGAGTTTCCTGAACTGGCTTAATCTGTTGATCAGTGTAAACTGTGCGCGGATCCCTGTTATTCTTTTCACAGCAAACGTCGGAGTCATCGTGTATATGAGAATGGTCAAAAATATCTTTGATATCAATGGTTGTATTTCGGGTTTCATTCGCGCCTGATGTGACTCGGTACACGCTGGCTTGATACGTTATTTCCATATGTTGTTTATCTACTTCATTTGCTTGAAGATCCTCGGGGTTCACCTCGACGAGCACGCTAAATGGATCTGGAATGAAATATGTCTCCTCAACCATATTTCTGGATAAAGGTGGCAGCCCTACGTATTCTTTCCAGCGCTCCTGTTCTGTGCCAACAAATGTATCCGTTGCGTTTACCTGGGGGATAAAAGATAACATCACATGAACAATTTGCAGATTTTACACAATTACATTATATTCAACCGCCTATGAAGCACTTCTAAGCTGGATTACGCGTGTGAACTCTCGCAACTTGTCAACAACATGTGTTCGCTACAGGCTTGTAGCAAGCTTGTCAACAAGTTGTAATCTGTGGAACAACTTGTAACAAGTCTGTTGAGCTCAGCAACCTTGTCGCCAGTTGCTAACAAGCGGTTGACAACTTATCAACAAGCTGGGAACAAGCAGTGCGAACACATCCCATTGACAAGTTGTTGGAACAGCAATGCCACAAGTTTGCTGCAGAAAACTGTGACAGAGATCTATAACATGATAATGATGATGATAACGATGGTGATAATGATGGTGATGACGGTGGTGGTGATAAATGTGGTGATGGTAAGGATGATGGTGGTCATGGAGATGATGATGGTGGTGATGATTATTACCTGTATATCAGGGGGTGCGTCTGGCACAATCACAACTCCATCTCCAACTGAATCTCGACAGAGTCCAACCTTGTCACAGCGTCTAACGACGGGTCGATACTTCGTGTATGGCTTTATCCTATCACCACTAAACCGAATGTGCGTCTTTCCTCGTGGAATGTCCACGAATTCAAAAGCAAACGGTTCTCCCCGCCATTTTTGAAGCAGAGACTCGGTTACATTTAGGTTTTCTTTCGGCTCGGTTAGCGCAGCCTGGATACTAGAGTATGACAACACGTTGCTTGGCGACGACCACGTGACTATAATCGCTTCAGTGTCGGTCTGGTAGTCTATATCAGTCCGAGTATCATTCAAATCCTTTACTTCGACCACATTGAGTTTAGGCGGGAAAGTTTTTATTGGGTTGCACAAGCTTGATTGAAGCAATGCAGTGTTTCCTACGCCGTTTGAAATACGAACCACTGCCTGGATACTTGTTAAAGTCGAAAGAGAATGAATAACAGCAGATTTTGTTTGTAGATTTGTTGGTACTGCCTCCCAAGGCTGTATATTGCACATATTGTCAACACTTTCAATACACCACTCAATTTTGGCTATGCCTGATTCTTTGTCTTCATGTTTCAACCAGGAAGCTTTGACCAAGCCACTACTGCAGGAAATTTTTATAGGAACTTGAGTTTTCGTTTCTAAAAGAACAAAGGTTAAGAAGCAATATGTCAGACCAATCTATGTTGGTTTGTTTGTTGGTTTGTTTGTTTGTTTCTATGTTTTTGTCATGTTTGTTTTGTGGCGTTTTCGGACATGATCCGACGCTGATTAAAGCTGTAGAGTATAGTAGGAGAATACGGGGCTATTTATATGAGCATTCGGTCGATAAGAGATGACTCTTACTGAGCATCTAGGAAGAACAGTTTAGAACTGAAAGAACTATCCAGTATAAATAAAGTTAGTTTAGGTTTCCTCCTGTTGTAACACTGGATCAATAAGAGACGATTCTTACTGGACCTCTAAGAAGAACAGTTTAGAACAGATGAAGCTGTCCAACATAAATAAAGTTAGTTTAGTTGAGGTTTCCTCTAGCAGTAAGGAGAACAGTTTAGAACTGACAGAGCTATCCAGTACAAATACAATTATTTTAGTTTTACCTGATGTTGTGGTATTACAAGATCCAATAGAGGCTGCACTACAAATCTCGTCTAAATTCGATGAAATTCCACTCATCTTTTTCACTGGTTGTGGCGGAGTGACATCAATCTTTATTTCATCTGAAGTCACTTGCGTCGACAGTCCCGCGTTGTTGGTCGCTCTTACTGTGACGTAATATGTTTCCTGATGACGTAATTTGAGCTCAGTGAAATTGTGAGTAGTGTCCAGTCCAACCGAGCGAAAGTCAATCTCATTGCATTCCTCCTGAGTTGTCCCAAGGCATACTTCATATTGAGATATATCTGATTCTGGGTCCTTGAATTTCTCCCATCTGAAGAAAATAATATGATATAGTATAAGATTAAGAGGCAATTTATTTTTTCTTTGTCGCGTATTTGCAATGAAAAGTGTTTAAAACCCAAAACTTTTTTGGCGTTCCTCTCAAAATCACTTTGTTTTAGCTTTATTTTGGAGTTTACATAGTTAGCAACCTTTTATACATATCTGGCGGTTGAGAAACACAAAATAAGAGTTAAATATTGTCAATTTAATTAAATATAATTATCATTGATGCTGTAAAATTGACGCCATATTTATACAGCAATATAAGCAAAACATACTGAACTTCAGACATCATTTTTTCTTTGGCGGACCATCTAAAATCTCTTCATTTTAGCATTACTCTACAGACAAAACACTAAACACACTTTTTATGTTTGTTTACCGCTCAAGAAGCGTACCAAAAATTTAAAAAATTGAATATAGTCATACCCAAGTGGAAAAGTATGTTGATTAGTTTTGAGCGCGTGTTAAAGAAACAGTATATGAATTTTCCCACATTATTGGCTGGTTTCACTAATGTGACAGTGCAGCAAATGTGTTTTATACATCAAAAAAGGAAAGTTACCATACCTAGCTGAAATTTGCTGGATATCGAAATTGCTTGGTGATGGGCTGACAATTACGACTCGTCCTGAGACTGGTGCCGTTGCGTCCACTGTAAATCCATCTGAAATCGCCTGCTGACGCAAACCAACCATATTGGTAGCACGAACTATTATCACATACTCTAGACCACTTTGTAACTCCGTGCCTAAAGAAAAGGTTAATGAAAATAATTAAGATTTACCTTCTCACTCTGAAACCAGCTGCAAGCCTTAAAATATCGTTCGGTCAACGGACATTGTCCGACCCATTCGTGAAATTGTCCACCGTAGAGAGGAAACCATGCACTGGACATTATGTCCGAGCTAAGTGAAACTGAGGTTTATTGTTTCTCCGACCCGAGAGAATTGGTGTCCGACCTAACTGTAACTTTGTCCAACGTCAATCAAAATGTACCCTAGTCCAGGACTATATATAGAGGCTCGTATGTTAAATGGAGATAAAAAATTAACTGGAAATGTGTAATCAAATCAAGTGCGGGGTTTTTACAGTGGGGTTCGGAAATTCATTGCCAAGATTCAAATGACTTTTCCAAATTTTGCTGATATTAATTTGTGTGTGCATTCATACTTATTTCCAAGCCAAACTGAACTCAAAGACCGGCGGACATCATAACACATATGTCCGCCCGAAACTCAAAGTCATCGACCATTTTCTCAGACGGTTCTCTGACCGATATTTTAAGGCCTGCTCTACCACACGCCAATATTTGAACCAAGAACAAGCAAATTAAACCAACCTGACAAGCTTATATTCGTCTGCAGTCCAGTGTCTGAAAACGCCGTTGGACAAGCGGTTATATTTTCTTTCTCACATAAGGCAAACTGGTAAGATTTTATACCACTTTCACCATCTTCAAATTCTGACCATCGAGCATAAACTGTATCACCACCCTTGAGGTAATCAATATCACCATCTTGACCATCAATAACCATCCCAGCACTTGGTGGTGTGTAATCAACTGTAACACCATCAGATACCATAATACTGGTCAAACCTGCACCATTGGTTGCTTTGAGTGTGACGTAATACCTATCCCCGTTTTTGATTGGCTGGTTAAGGTATGTCGATATTTTACTCGCACAAACATCTAATGAGGTACTGACTTTGAGGTCACATGATCGAGGCCAGGACCCGATACACCATGTAAGGGTGACGACGTCACTTTCAGGGTCTTCAACGTTGAACCACGTGGCAGACACGTGCCTACGGCTTCGCTGGTAGTCAATGTCTTTTGATTCCTTGAAACCGTCCAGAACCTTACTAAGAGGTGGAGCTGTAATAAAATCAAGCATGTTATATGCGTGCAAAATGTTTATCAAGTCTATGGAGTATTCTACAATAAGCGCCGTGGTTTGTGTCTGAAATTACACACACAAAAATCTCACATCTTGTAGCAAGTCTGCCAACAGGTCGTCAACAAGTTGTGTTCGCACTGCTTGTCCCAAGTTGTCAACATGTTTGGACCAAGCTGTTGACAACTTGTAATAACCTTGTTGATATTGTCAGACTTGTTGCAAGGTTGTTCCAACAAATCCGATACAGTCATGATATAAAAATATTGTTACAACCTTGTGTCGTCAACCTTGTAACATTCTTGTTATAGCATGACTGTATCAGACTTGTTAGAACAACCTTGTAACAAGTCTGATAATGCAATCAAACTTGTTACAAGTTGTTAGCAGCTTGTTCCAAACTTGTTACAACAACTAGGAATAAGCAATCCGAACACAACTTGTCGACAGCTTGTGAACATATTTGTAACAACTTGTTTGCAGACCTGTAACAACTTGCGCGTTTTTACGTGTATACGTAAAAAAATACAAGTCAGTAGCGTACCTGTCGTGTCCACAGAAATTGGTTGTGAGGCTGTAAAATTCGTAGATAAGCCAGCATTGTTTCCACACTTTATAGACACAAAATATTCCTCATCGTGGACCAAACTCAGGTTATACCAAGTGTAGCTTGACGCATTTCCAACAGAAACCAATCCAGTTACATCACACAACGTAGGTTCTGTCCCAATACATAATGAATAACCAGAGACCCCAGTTTCCGGGTCAATGAAACCGTGCCAGCGGGCCAGGATTGCAGACGAGACAAAATTGTATTCATCTCCCAAAGGATTCAATGCAGTTATCTCCCCAACATCCGGCTCCGTCGTATCGATGATAAACTTTGGAGAATCTGCTGTTGAGCTGAGATCAACTTGGTTTGTTGCAGTAATTCTTACGATATAACTCTGGCCTTCTGTAATAGGTGGTTCTTCGATACATATGAATGTTCTATTGTTGAGGTCGCGAGATGAGATAGGACAGTTATGTTTATCGTGTTCCAAACATAATGAAAAATGATAGTCAATGATTCGAGTCTCGCTGTCAGTGAATGTGTTCCATGAAGCACAAATGGAGCTCTTGCGTGTCAGGTATATCGTGTCACCTAACACTGTATTTGGTGATGTGATGTCAACCTGGAAAGACAAATTATACCCTTGAGAAGAGAACGCCCCGGGAACTTTTCGATACCTTGATCGAAAATCTCGATGGTAGCTGAAACGTATCGGGCTTGGTTTTTTTGGACACTGAGGTGTCAATGACGCTGTGTTCAATGCATAACCACCGCGACAGGCGTTTGATTCCTGCAATATGCAGCTGTCTCATTACTATCTCGCTGTGTCGTATGCGAGATGAATGCTTCCAGTCACATTGAATGCTATCCTCCTGTACTAATGGTATCCTCCTGGAAAATGCTATAATCCTGTATTTAGGGCACTTAGTCTTAGAGATGGGAGAACAGTTTAGAACAGATAAACAGTTTTTAAGCATAAATTATACAGCATTAGTTTTACGTTTCCTCCTGTGAAAACACTGGATGAACAAGAGATAACCTTTAAAGGACATCTAGAGAAACCAGCTTAGAACTGGTAGAGATATCCAGTACAAACAAAATTAGTTTAGTTTAGGTTTTTTCATGTAATAACACTGGATCAATAAGAGATGGGGAACAGTTTAGAACTGATGCAGCTATTCAGTATAAAGTTAGTTTAGTTTAGGTTTCTTCCTGTAGTAACACCGGACCAATAAGAGATGACCTTACTGGACCTATAGGCCTTATTGGAACTGATAGAGCTATCTAGTATAAATAAAGATAGTTTAAATTTTAAAATTCATCGCTGTCTTACCTTGCCAAGATCAGGGGGTGTGCTGTCAATCAAAACTCCGTCAGAATAAACCTCTGTCACGCCACCAGCCCTATTATACACTCTCAACGTCGAATACACAACTGTCCCAGAACTTATAGCTGGTTTCACCTGCAACTTTACTGCGAGCGCACTGTTCACTGTAGTCAGCGGTAGTATATCACATGACCCTTTCACGGTCCCTGCACAAATGACGTATTTCAAAACTCCAGACTCTGCGTCGTGGAATTTGTCCCAGTTGGCGCTAACATACGAATCGAATACAGTCACATCAATGTCAGTATCATCCCCATCGCTAACACTACCACCCTCTGGTGACGTCATGTCTATGAATATCCCATTTGAAGTGGCAAAACTGGTTTGTCCGGCTCCATTCACGGCACGAACAGTTGTATAGTATGTCTCATTTTGAGTAAGATTCAGATTACTGATGATTGCTTCAGTAGCCAAGCCGTAGTTCCTGTACCCGCTAACATCACAGAGACCAGCATTTGAGCCAACACAAACTTCGTAACGTGTTATCCCGCTTTCCTTGTCTTGAAAACCTTTCCAACTAACAGAAATTTCAGAGGACGAACTTTGGTAAGCTTGATCCTTCAAATACTCATCTCCATCAAATACCATTCCAGATTGAGGGGGTGTTTTATCAAGAATAAACGGGTTTGAAACGGCAGTTGTCTCCAATTCTGCAAAATTCATTGCTTTAATGACTAGATTGTACTCCATACCTTGCTCAATTCCGATATCGCTGAGAGCAAGACTTGTCTTTAGACCTGAATCCACTAACTCAGACACACATTCTGAATGTTGATTTGCTGAACAAATTTTCCACTGGTACATTTTGATGTTGCTTTCGGAGTCTACAAAGTCCGACCATGAAGCAGTGAGTGGTTGCCCTTCTTGTTGGAAAACTAATGCTTTCTTGTTACCGACTCTAACGGTCCCTTTCACAGGTGGTGTGTCATCTACTATAATGCTACCAGAGTAATCAATAGCATCCAACCCTGGCCCGTTTTCAACTTTCAGTTTAAGCAAAAACACCGTTCCAGTTTGAAGTGGGTTTGGGAAATTGAAACTCAAACTTGAAGTAGAAGGATTGATCGCTGTCCAAGGAGTCAAATTGCATTCATCTTTATTCGTGGAAACACAAGCAGCAACACTCTTAATCTCGCTTTCCAAATCAGACACTGTATTCCACCTTGCGGAAACCTTGTATGGATTGGTTAAAATAGCAATGACGTCATTATTGGAAACGTCAGATTTGATGACGTCTGTTGCGGTAGCGTTGATGACGACATTTGTGATATTCAGGTCAACGATTGAGGTCGGCGAGAAGCCATCGATAATGGGAGGGGTGGTGTCCACGACCAGACCGTTAGACGATGAGGTTGTTGATAAGCCAGCTCCATTAATGGCGGTCACTGTTACAAAGTAAATCTGGCCTTGTTCTAGCGTGACTTGTCTGGTTGCGTGAAGGTCTAGATTTGCTGACGTCTGGTTGGTAACATCGCAGGAATCTATAAAAGTATTTCTTAATTATTGACTATTTGAATATTGGAGTTTTAGTGGCTCAGCGGTACATGTGTTTTTTACCTCTGTGACCGGGGTTCAATATTCCTGCTATATGCAGTTGTCTGAATACAATTTCATCACATGTGAGAAAAGTGCCTCAAGTTTGATCCTACTTAACACTGTATGTTCTCTCCGGGTATCCCCGTGTCCTCATGTAGTAACACTGAAGCAATAATAAGAGATAACCCTTACTGGAGCTCTAGAAAGAACAGTTTAGAACTGCTATCCTGTGCAAATAAAGTTGGTTTAGTTTAAGTTCCCTCCAGTAGTAATACTCGATCAACAAGAGATGGCCCTTATTAAACCTCTAGAAAGGACAGTTTAAAACTGATAAAGCTGTCCAGTATAAATAAATAAAGTTAGTTTAGTTTAGGTTTTCTCCAGAAGTAACACTAGATCAGTAAGAGACGACCATTAATGGACCTATAGAAAAAACAGTTTAGAACTGATAGAGCTGTCCAGTATAACTAAAATTAGTTTTATTTCCTCCAGTAGTAACATTGGATAATTAAGATGCCCTTATTAGACCTCTTGGGCGAACCGTTTTGAACTGATCCAGTGTAAATAAAGTTAGTTTAGTTTTACTCGGGGGCCGGTTGTATAAAAGACTAGACTAACTATCGTTTTGTAGTTAAATAGCAGTTTACACTCAAATACGCGATTGACAGGTAGTTAACATGAACTACTTTTTTTATATAACCAACCCCAAGTATTAAAAAATCATTTTCTTTAAATACCTGGTCTAGTGCCAATGCAGTACAAGTACTCCACCACACCGCTCTCTGGGTCAAGAAACTCACTCCACGTGGCTGACACGTGATCAACATGAGCTTGAGAATCTACATCACTCGTACCATTCCCATCTCGAACCGCACCTGGTGTCGGCGGCGACCAATCAACGATTACTTGTGGTGACGTTATACTCGTCTCCAGGCCCAAAACATTTACTCCTACAACCGTGACGTAGAATGCCATTCCGTGAGTAAAATTGAATTTGATGTCAGCAAGGTCTACAGAATTTTGGTTTCCATCGAGTTTAGTGAATGGGTGTAAGTCGTCAGCCTTAGGGGAATTGCCGATACCGAAATGATACTCTTTTATAGCACTTTCGCTTTCGTGCATAGCCCATGAGACCATTGGGGGAGTGACGTCAGGTAGAAAAATGACCCGGGCACCGTGCGACCCACCGACTTTAATAACCCCGGCAGAAGGTGCCGTACGATCTACTGTAAATCCATCAGATACAGCCGAAACTGATTGGTCCCATAGATTCGACGCCTGCACCTTGACGCTGTACCGCTGTCCATGAAGTAACGAGATATTATGGAACTGATGAACGGTCGTTTTGCGAGGTGGGTCTACCTGAGCCAGCGATGTCGTGCAATTTAGATGGTCAGCGGTTTCACTCGTTACCAGTCCGTAACACCAAGCGTACTGCTCTATGCCGTATACAGGGTCTTCAAAGCCGGTCCAATGAAGCCACACTGCTTTGTCATCGAGTTGGAAGTCAATATCTTGTGCCAATGGTCCGTCATATACCACGCCAGCGGTTAGCTTGCCAAGCTTAACAAGTACTTCATTTGAGCAGCTTGTAGTGGATAGTCCTGCGCCGTTTATGACTCGTATGCATACAAAGTACTTCGTGTTGGTGTAAATGGTTTGATCTCTTATAACATGTCCGTTTAGAGTGGCTGTAGTAAAAATGAATTTTACGAAAAAGCGTTAGCCGTTAGGGATAAAAATGTGCACTGATAAATATTTCAAACGTGGCAATGCTGTCGTAGTTTGTATTTTGAACACGTAACTATCTCACATCTTGTAGCAAGTCTGCCAACAAGTTGTGTTCGCACTGCTTGTGCCAAGTTGTCAACAAGTTTGGAACAA